AATTGATGATCTCTTCTTGGTTTAACTTTGGTGGTTCCCGTGATTTTAAATATCCATCCAATTCTTTTAGATTTTCAAATTTAGTAGCATATAGGTTTTTAAAATATTCCCTTATAATGGTTTGGATCTTCTCAGTGTCTGTTGTGACATTTCCCCTTTCATCTCTTATTTTGTTGATTTAGATTTGCTCTTTCGTTCTTTTGGTTAACTGGGCTAGGGGTCTCTCTATCTTGTTTAGCTTTTCAAAGAACCAGCTCTTAAAGTCCTTGAATCTTTGTATTGTTTTCTTTGTTTCTATTTCATTAATTGCTGTTCTGATTTTTGTTACTTCTCTTCTGCTGGGTTTAGGTTTCATTTGTTCTTGCTTTTCCAGTGTCTTGAGTTGTAGTGTTAGGTCATTTATTTGGACTCTTTTTTTTTTAAATATTTTATTTATTATTTTTTTATTGTACGAGTGTATTGCCTGCATGTATGTGAGTGCACCTGGGGCGTGCAATGCCGCGGAGGTCAGAAGAGGGCTTCAGATTCCCCTGGAACTGGAGTTAAGGATGGTTCCTAGCCGCCATGTGGGTGCTGGGAATCAAACCCGGGTCCTCTGCAAGAGCAGTCAGTGCTCTTAACTGCTGATCCAACTCTCTAGCCCCTATTTGGGCTCTTTCTAATTTTTTAATGTAGGCACTTAGGTCTATAAACTTCCCTCTCAGAACTACTTTTAAAGTGCCCCAAAGGTTGTGTTGTGTTGTATTGTCCTTCTCATTGAATTCCAGGAATTCTTATTTCTTTCTTAATTTCTCCTTTGACCCACTCATTGTTTAGGAGTGTGTTGTTCAATCACCACAAGTTCATGCAGTGACTAGGGTTTCACCCAGTGTTGATTTTGAGCTTTATTGCATTGTGGTCCGATAGAATGCATGGAATTATTTCAATTTTTTTGTATTTGCTGAGGTTTGTTTTGTGCCCCAGTATGTGGTCAATTTTGGAGAACATTCCATAGGGTGCTGAATAGAAAGTATATTCTTTGGTGCTTGGGTGGAATATTTAGTAGATGTCTGTTAGGTCCATTTGATGTATGGTATTGCTAATTCTCTCTGTTTATTCTTTGTCCAGTTGACCTGTCTAATGGAGACAGTGGGGTATTGAAATCCCCTACTATTACTGAGTTGGGGTTAATCTGTGTCTTAAAGTCCTGTAGTGTTGTTTTTATAAATTTAGGTACACCAGAGTTTGGTGCATATATGTTAAAGATTGTAATATCTTCTTTGTTAATTGTTCCTTTGATCGGAATGAAGTGACTGTCCTTAACTCTTCTGACTAGTTTTACTTTGAAGTCTATTTTGTCAGATATTAGAATTGCAACCCCTTATTGCTTCTTAGTGCCATTTGCTTGGAATATTCTTTTCCATCCTTTCACCTTAAGATAGTGCCTGTCCTTGAAGGTAAGATGGGTTTCTTACAAATAACAAAAAGATGGATTTTGTATCTTAATCCATTCAGTTAGCTGTATCTTTTGACTGGGGAGTTCAGTCCATTGATCTATAAGGTTATTATTGAAAGATGTGTATTGGTTGCCATCATTTTGACTGCTGTTTGTGTTCTTTGTCTAGTTTTATGTTTTCTCAATTACACCTTTATTTGTTTTCTTTTGTTGCCCCTAGGGTATAGCTGTTCCTCTCTCTTCTCTTTGTATTGTTTCAAGTATTCTTTGAAGGGCTGGTTTTGTGGACATGTATTCTTTCAAGCTTTTCATGTCATGGAAGATTTTTCTTTCCCCTTCAACTATAATAGAAATCTTTCCTGGGTAAAGTATTCTGAGCTGGCATCTATTATCATTTAGAACTGGAAATACCTTGGTCCAGGCTTTGTCCAGGCTCTTTGGCTTTCATA